CAGGGAAATGGTTTCTTATTCTTTCGGTGTTTTGACAGCGGTTGTAATGTAAACCAAAAGGTCATGATATGGATTCCGTTACCTAATACATAATACTGTAAATATTTATGAAAATAATGAACAAAATTGGTATAAAATGTAAATATTATTGAAATGACACTTATTTACTGTTTGAAAATAAACGGCTCCAGAATACACTGAATCGATGATACATTGATAATTTACACTGTGATTGGCCGTTATTCCATCCAAACAGATAGTCCCACACCAGCAATAGTGTGGTTAATACATTCATAGCTTCGAATACAGAAATACCACGGGACAAACATGTACAAATCAAACTTTTTGGTTGGTAAATATACTCGATGCAACAAACTGAAATGAAATTTTATGTTTTACTAAAAGCTGCATGTGAACTCTATTGATAATAAAAGCTGTCGAGATATAAAATCTAAAAATCTTCCAAATCGATATTAGGTAACTCAAATTATGCTTTTTCGTGTGATACATGACCATCCAATGACCTAGTGTAAATATAAGTATAAATGCTACCTCTAGAACAGTAAGATAGACATTAGACCAAAGTGACCTCACTGGGTGTATAGCTGCTCAATAACCACTGCTTAAGGGAGAAAAATAATACAAAAGGCTGAAATGAGCATCAAATTTCAAACATTAAAGTGACCAAAGATGGAGAATGAGTCTCTTTACAAATGAATACAAATTGCAATTGAAAGAAGAGAACAGAATTATGGTCAATGTACAAAATCTACAGTGAAGCATGTTGGAGAATTAATACAATGATGTGGGAGATATACACAAAATTACTGGCATCCTAATTATTGATAGGTATGAGCAGATTTATATCCATCATCCCATTTCCTCGAAAACAAGACATGTTGGGAAGAGATTCATCTTACAACAAGACAATGATAAAAAAGATGCAGTTAATGCAGTGAAACAATATCTAGAAGGAACACAGAAGCAGATGAAATACTCCCAAACAAGGCTTTGCCTGCACAAAGTCCCAGTATAAATATTAAAGATGAAAAGGCTTATACAGTAGCTGGGACATGTCAAATGGTCACCAAACCATATGTATGAATTATAAGGAGTAATACAGGACATTTAGAAAGATATTTCACAATCACCACCATATGGTGGCGTAAAAGCAGTAAAGCAAATATAACATACAAGTGTCTTGTACAACTTATTCGCTTTTCTCTGGTGTTACTGTAATAATTTATTGTATTATTGGTAAAATTATATTTTAGTTCGAATAATTCATTGTCTGTCTTCCTTTACCATTCGTGGTACAGTGGTTAGTGTGCCGAACTCTGTATATGGGGAAGTGTTATAAGAGTGATGATGAAATCCCACTATTAAATTCGAGTATCCCACGATTTGACGGTGGATGGTATTGATTAGCTATCTTCTCTTTAGTAATCCCACTATTAAATTCGAGTATCCCACGATTTGACGGTGGATGGTATTGATTAGCTATCTTCTCTTTAGTTTGTCGCTTCAAAATTAGGGATGCTAGCTCAGGTAGTTTCGAATAGCTTTGTGTGAAATTCAGTAAAGAAACAAACCAACAGAAACCATTAAGTTTGTTAATTATCTCAATTCTTTTCTGTCGAATATCCAGATAGGTTATGGCAATGACGACCTTCTTGCGATTTGTTTGTTTATAATAGAACAAAGCCACATTAGGCTATCTACTGTATCCATCGCGGGGAATCGAACCCTTGATTTTAGCATTGTAAGTTCGTAAACTTACCGCTGTCCCACCGGGAAATATCTTCTTACGAAAACTACTTCTTCGCAGGCAGTGCTCTTATTGATTCTGGATCTTAAGATAAAAATGCATTTTAATTTTACTTTAATATTAGATGGTGTCGAGAAAGAACACACACTACACGCACTTAAAAGTTTGGTCTTCATTAGAGCGTGGAATAGATTCTCTTTGTAAATGTTAAAAAATATCCATTAAATACACCTTAATCAGTATGCCGTTCGTTTTTAACAATGAAGTTATTTTTTATATTTATTTTCATTTTCAAGATCATACATCACAATATTGATTGTGAAAATATTCAATTTCACGCAAACAAAGAATATAAAAGCTATATCCCACAAAGTACTTTCTATGGCTATACGCATTTTGATATGCAAAAATAAATAATTGCTAAACATTAAAG